ACTGTATACATAGATATAATTATATATACAAAGTGCATAGCATTCTACAATTTTTTCAGAGCAATGCTGCATACATCAGATCATTTGCCTCCCACAACAACCCTGTGGTGTGGGAGGGCTGTGTATCTTCAAATGTACGAATGAGGAAATCAAACCAGAGGACAAGTGATGGGCAGGAACCTAGGGGCCTGACTTCTGGTCCTGGGCTGTTTCTATGATTCTATCCTTCCTTCCACCCCTCCAGCCTCCGTCCTCACCAAGAGGCTGTTGTTCACTGACTTATTTATTCCTTCATTTCATCAACGTGTATAGAGCTTCTAGGTCTTGGACATAAAGCAGTAAAAATTAAAAAAAAAATCAAAACAAAATCAGCCCTTTCTGTGAGTAGGGTCAGGAGCTGGTTAAGGTCAGTGCAGTGGTCAAAAGCACAGATGAGGGGCCAGCCTGCTCGGGGCTGCATCCCAGCACATCTGTTTACCTGCGGCCTGAACTCTGGCAAATGTTTCAAACCTCCTGGTCTGTTTCTTCATTGGTAAGACAGGGATAATTATAGCCCCATCGGAGGGGCATTTCGTGTGGCTGTAATGAGTTGCTACTCACAGGTACTGTAATAGGATCTGGCCCACAGTAAACTGGCCATGAGAGAGACTTGAGAGTCTAAGCGACCTTTTGGGGAGACTGAAAAAAAAAATGTGTGCACAAGGTTATAAAATACTTAAGAATGCTTTGCAGCAAATTTTTTGGTGATGACTCCATGCTTATTTCTTTCTGGCCTTTTCTTTTCAGCAGTAACGCATCTTCTCTCACCCACATCCCACCTCCATCTTTCCCCCACCAAGAAGTAAAAGACTAGTTACAAACATCTCAGGGCCAATGTTTAAAATATTCACTTGGACTTCTCTTCTAGGACCCTAGGCAGCTCTGCTCAGGTCTCTTTGTGTTCCTAATGCAATATTTAAAGTTTGTATCTGTCCCAGTAAGATAAAACAGAAGTCTCTGCATACAGGTTTGTGTATTAGGGACTCTCAAGATGTCACGACAGAATCTGTGCCTCTGTTTTGAACATTCAAGGTTGAGACTCTCCATGTACTTCTCAGAAAGATCTTGACTCCCTGCCCAGTCCCCACCATAAACTTTGCTTTGCCCTTATGGTCCCGCTCCCACCCCCCAACTCATACCAAGGTACTGATAGAATTAATATCCTTTGTATTCATCCCCAAAGATTTCCTCACAGCTCTGCCAAGGCAGATCAATTACCTGTATCACTTTCACTGTTTAAATTCTAAATTCCTTCTTAGGAGAGTCTGCCTCGTCATGAACATGGTGCCAGGGGGGCATGCAAAACTTTCCAGCTTAATCCAGTGTTTCTTGAGATGAGGGCTTGTGCACCACAATTTGAGAACTGCCCCTCAAGAGCAGGGGTTGGCAGTTGGCAGGACCCACTGGTTTGTTAAATAAAGTTTTATTGGTACAGAGCCCGTCCATTCGTGTACATATTATCCATGGCTGCTTCCAAGCTGCAGCAGCATAGCTGAGTAGTCTCGAGACCATATGGCTCACAAAGGCTAAAATATTTACACTCTGGCCTCTATGGAGGAAGTCTGACCCCCAGGCAGGAAGTGAGACCCCCAGCGGGCAGATGGAAGCCTCAGGACTTGATTTTTCAAAGGAAGTGGCCCGTGGATGAGAGCTATTGATGTGAGTTCACAATCTGCAGCTGAAGCCCGTTAATGACTCGTGTAGGATAAAGGATATCATTCAAATGATACTTTGCCTTCAAAGCTTTGGGGACCAAAGGTGGCATATCTGCAGGAATGTTATGTCAGAACATTCTCATATCTGGATGGGAAGAGAACTGTCTTACGGCAAAGTGCAACCTGCATGCCTGTGTGTGTTTGCTTCCCTTCTGAAGCTGCAAGCACATTCCCCCGGGCACCGGCCTTCCCAGAAGCAGTGTTCGGTCTGTTGTTATGCCCTGGGGGCTGAGGACCTGGAAAGAGCCCTCCGCCTTTCCACCGCACAGATGACTTCCCTCTTCCAGAGCTTTTGAGGGTCAAGTATTAAGCACCCTGTGCCTGATCTGTGCTCTTCCTTGGACAAGAAAGACATGCAGGACCCGGAGCAAAACAAGATGCAGTGTGTGATGGTCGCCGAGCTCTGCGGAGCGCCCCAGATGCTTGAAATGTCAGAGGAAGGACAAACTCGGGTGCATCAGAGTTGCTGCAGTGTCAGGTTTGGGGGTATTATCTCTGGATCTCTGCTTTGATTGAATTGAACTAAGTTTGCTGGTGAATTGGTTCCCAAATGCTAATTAGTGGATGGGCAGCATCAGAATTATCTGGGTATTTTCTAAAAATATGCATGAACATCTTCCCCAGGGATTTTGATTTTCAGCAGGCCCAGGGTGGATTCCTGTTTTTGTTTTTCGTTTTTTTTTTTTTCTTAAAAAACCCATCCCCCAAGGGATTGTGACGCACAGCAAATGAATGCTGACAAATGGAATCTGCTGTTTATTTCATGTTGTTTCAATGGATTCAGGGGATGCTGGCACTTTCTCTGCAGGATCTGCCAACGCACCTTAAATCCCCAAAGAAGCTGCTCATGTGCCTCTGCAGGTGCTGATTGGCTGTGATTGACATGTGACGTCGGGTTCTCATCAGGATTCAAAGTGGGATTCAGACTTTTTTTTTTAACCTCAGGAGCCCTTCTTATCTGTCTTTTACGAAGGGCTTGATCTTCTCCTGAAGAGCAGTGTTTTTCACACTGTGGGGTTGCAATCTGCCCAGGGGTTATAAAATCCTTTGAGGAGGGTGCAACAGCATTTTTTCAAAAAGGATTAGGAAAAAAAATCATGGTGCATCACATGCATGAAGGATCAATGTTGTCCTGTGAAAGCTGTGCTAGTGGCTATGTTGTGCGTGGGGTGGCTGTGTATTTCTTACTACGTAAAAAAATGTAAGTCTCAGCTGTACAGCATAAATCAGCCATGACTCTAATTTTCTTAAGGATGCTCCCGTCTGTCTCCACTTGCGGAGAGCTGATGGAAGAAGTCATCAGGGAACAGACTGTCATATAGAAGCACTTCCAGGGAGGCTACCTGGAAACTAACAGAAAACCAATTTGTGAAGGATCGCATAGCCTGGGGAGATAAATCAATGACAGGAAGTTTTATGGGCAGCAGCCGACTCGCCCGCCCACCACACCTGTCACCTGGGGACAGCTGGGTTTATCTGGAGCTCAGCCTGGCCAAAATTCAGGTTCCCTTTCCTTGAAATGGGGATAATCACCCTGCTGATTTTTACTGTCGTGGGAAAGGGCACGTCGGGTCGGGGGAGGGGACTCTATCCAATAAAGGATGAACCTCAAAGCTCAAGCCCAGCGATGACTTTCCATGATGGTCTGGTGAGCATGCTTTTTGTTTTTTTTTGGTTTTTTTTTGGCATTAGAGGAGGAAGAGGAAGGCCATTCTTAGATAAAGTCCAGGCCACCTGGGAGTCAGAGAGGGTGTATATGCAAGCACAGACCAGGGGAACCTTATGTCAAGGGGGCTTCCTTCTGTTGGCTTCTTGGCAGCAGCCTTGAGGGTCTGATCTTAGTCACCAAGAAGAGGATGGCCAGACGGAGCCGAGACAATGAGCTCGCAGAGCATCTGCTGTTTGCAGCCCTCAGTGGCGGGGAATGTCTTCCGCAGGCTCGGGAGGGGTTTGGGGTGGGAAAGGGGAGCACAAGGGTGGTAGACCATCCCTGGGGTGGCTAATTTTGGAACAGCCCTGCCATCCTCTTCTCAGTGGGAAAGAGGAAGGAGGAGAACTCAGAGGATGGGAGAAAAGAAAGCTTTCAAGAACATCACTAAAAGGTCTGGGGTGAAACACTCTTGTGGACAAAAAGCCCCCACCCTCTATTCTGAAGGGCCACTTACAACAAAGACCTTAAATGTCCGAAAGAGGTCTTGGCCACTTCCGCCACTGCTGTTTTTAAAGCTTTCACAATATTAAGGGATGAAAAAAATTGGCAAGAACGCAAAGATGGAATTAAGAAAACACCAAAACCAGCAAAGGCCTGTTTGAAGTTGCCTGGTGAGCATCTTTAATCCTATTGGTGATCTGGGTGGTTGTCCGGATGACTTCCTTAGGCGAGGTCAGAAGTCCCGACCAAGGGGCAGGCCGAACGTTGCCCGATCCCTGCCGGGAGAGGCTTTGCTCTTAGGAGCAAGCTCAGCCGCCTACACTACTTGGAAGGGGACAGAACCTCACTCCCTCTTCAGCTGGGCTTTCTCGGGATCGTGGTGTAGAGGACACGAGCCTCCCCAAGGGAGCTGGTACCAAATATTCTTCTTAGCATCCTCCACCTGCTGCAGCCACCAGCAGTGGGGATTTGGATTTAGCAGGCTTGAGGTGGAACCCAGGAGCCTGCATTTTAAGACACACCCCCTTCACACATGCACCGAGATGGGCCTCAGGCTGCCCACACTTTGAGAGGCTGTGGGGAAGGCTGGCCGGGGAGAGGAGGGTTTCGTCCATCAGCCCTGAGCCTCGCCCTGCCGTCCTCCCAGCCGACCACCCAGAGTGAAGCAGGACTCCTGCCTGCCCCATGCTCTACATCAGGGCAGGGCAGGGCTGGGCCTGAGGTTGGATGGTTTTCCCGAAAAGGCCTCAGACATCAGTGGCTCATCAAGCCCCGAGGCTGCCCACAAAGAAGATAACGGCTAATCGCACTTTAACACACATTGTAGATGCCTTTTCTGGATTGAAAAAAATGACAAAAAACCCCAAAAGACAAAAAAAAAGTCAAGCATGTGGAAAACTCAAGGTCCTGAGAGCCACCCAAGGGCTGCAATTCAGGCGAAGACCCTGAGGGTGGCCAGTCCATCTGGGTAAATCTAGCCCTGGTTCCCTGCCCTTCCCCAGTGACAGAATCAAGTCCCGCCCACCCGCCCACCCCCTGGAGCTAGCCTGACATCACCTTCACTTCGCTTTTCTCACTGGAACCCATGCGTGGTACACAGTTGAACAAAGACATTTATTTGTAAAAGCAATTCCCAGTGGAGGAGAGATTGTATCCATAGAAAGTAAAGCAGTGATCATTCAGAGGCCCCCATGCACACATCAGTGAAACCCAAGGCGAAACCACTGCAGACACTCGGGGAGCCACCAACCCTGCCAACTGCAAAGCACAAGGTCCTTTCTGCTCGAGAACACGGATGCACCGAGATGAACTGTGAGAAGGCAATTTGGTCTGACATCCACGATGAAGTGATCAGGGGACAATTGAGGGAGCCTTTTTTTTCTTTTCTGGGTGGCTTGTTGGCTTCCCACAGATACCCGGCTAAGAGCTGAAGTGGTCCTCCACCCTCCAGCGGGAGGGGGTGGTGTCAAACCTGCTCACATGCCCATCCTTATGCTCTGAATGATCTGGAAGATAGCTGAACAAGGAAAACAAAACAGACGGCTCAGACACCAGACAGCACACAGCTGGAAACCCAATCCCACCACAAGCTCTGCTTCTGCTGCCCCCGGGCCCCTGGCGTGTTAGCACACAGCTGATTAGATATTTCCTAACAAGGAGTTAAGTTAACAAGAGGTCAGTGAACTTCTTTAAAAAGGCAGCCTTGCTCTGTCTGCTGATGGATGCCTCAGGGATTTATGGATAACTCTTGCTAATTCCACCAGGAGTGAGGGCCAGCAAGCCCTTGGGCGCTGAGAGCATTGGCCCCCTTCCCCAGAACCATCCGCTGGGGCTGGAGCGTGGGGCGAGGCTTCCATTTAACAGGTCAGTGACGCTGCCTCTTCAGAATGGCTGTGACCTGGAAAAGAAGCTGCCCTTGAACTGGAAGGCAGGCCAGGTGCTGGGAGCAGACACGCGGAGCTGGGCCCCCCGGCTGCCGATGACAAGTGCATCTTCAGGCGGCCTGGAACTTTCTGAAATGCAGGTTAACATGCACTGAGAGTAACACCGACTTATCCAGGGCTCCATCTTCACTACGTGGAACTCCTTCCTGATCGAAGAGGTGGGTAGACTGTGAGCCCACAGATAATTCCTGGGGTGCCCATCCCCCACCCCCGCTTACTTTGGTGAGATCTGCTTAGATAGCTCCCAGCCTGATTTGATCTTTGTGGTTTCAATGTGTTCCAGTGGAGTAGAGTCCCAGCTCCTTTTCCACATCCTCCCCGGAAGTGAAATATACAAATTGGTCAATCATGATAAAGACAGTCATGATGACAGTAACAATGAACATGTACAGAATGACTTCGTATTTCAGGGGAGGCTGGGGATCATCTCATGTAATCACGTGTAAAAACAACAAACAGAGCATTCGGGGGTCTTACCCCTTCTCTCTTTCATGAAGCCATCCTGGAATACACCCAGGAACGCTGCTTCCTAAGTGACCATAGTGAAGCAGGCTCCCCAGAACCCCCCCAAACCAAACTGTTTGATATTTCATCATCCAATGTTAGTGAGAACATACTGCGTGCCAGGCACTGTGCTTCGGGGGTACAAAAATAAATCACACAGAGGGTCCCAGGGCATCTTCCTCGAATAGCTAGATTTGAAGGGTAAAGTACTAATGCATTTTTTTAACTAAAAATCTCACTGTGTGTATCATCACTACTTTCCTAAATTGGACATATGCCAAACACGATTTAATATTATGTTTTTATGAATGTCCAGGGTGACTATAATAAAAAATTATAACCGGTGAGACTCTGCTGTAATGTTACTACTGAGGACGCACAGTGTTTGATCTGATACCAAAATGGCTCTGGTCGGCTCTACTTAGGTTCTCATTTCTGCTTCTCACCATTTGTGTGTGTGTGTGTGTGTGTGTCAATCATTCTTATCTCTGGTGTTACTACACCAATCTGCAGTGAGCCCTCTTCTGTTATGTTTCTATAGACTCAGTTGAAAACAAAGACTGTTGGAACTACGTGTACAATTAAAGTCAACCAGTTCTGTGTGAGGGTCGGAAGGGCTCCTCTCTTGATACAGTAAAGGAGTTAACCCAACATGCTGCGATAGTTAACTCTGGTTGTGCATAGAGGTTTTCTTGGCTTATTCTGGATTCTGGGCTGGCTCTTGACAGGAGAGGTTGCTAGACGGATGAGAAAGTACCTCACCAAAATGTAGACGCCTGCCGGATGTTTCTGGCCTCCTCTACCAAAGCTGACAAGGAATAAAAATTAAATAAACATTCTGTGTTCTGGCTCCACAGAAGTGCTGGGAGGCAGCTGTGTATTCAACTACATTAGGAAAAAAATATTTACATCTACCATGCCTCGGGCTTTGTTCTTGGGATCAGGAAAACAACCCGAATCTTGACAAACAAGCTTACTTTAGAGGGGATGTTGTGGGCCAGAGGGAATTGGGTTTGATTCCCCGTCCCCCATGTTCCCTGAAGGGCTGTGTGACTACATGAATAATTTAACCTCTTCAAGCCCGTTTCCTCTTCTGTGAACTGAGGACCATGATGCTTGCAGCGCTAATATAGGATTTAAACGAGATGACATACAGGAGGCTCCTCACTCACGGAAGATCGGATGCCTGGGAGCTATTGCTATGACTACCGTTGCTACCACTACAACAATGGCTGCTGCCTCTCCACGTATGAGGTATGAGCATGAAGACAAGAGCTCAAGCTCTAACTGCCACCCTCTAGAGGTGCGAATTTGGGGAATTCACTAAATAGTTCTGAGCCCTGATTCCTCTATTTATAAAACTGTAGATCATCTGTATCTCAAAGGATTGCAAGGAATAAATATGATAACACAAGTAAAAGATCTGCCCATCACAGATGCTCAAAAATGTCATTTTCCCCTGAGTTTTATTTCTAGACAAGAAATCCTGATCAGCAGGATGCAGGTCAATGAATGGGAAAGAGTCTGTGCTTTGGTCCATCATACCTCATTAAGTTAAGTCATGACTTCAAAAGCGCTGGGTAAGGATAAAGCCGCTCAATTCTTTTTAAGGAACTGTTGCAAATTTCTCTTAAGAATCTTAAACACAATTGGCTTGTCTCAGAGTAGCAACACTTCTATTGAAACAACTTACCTATTTGCAAGTCTGCTTAAAAAGCTCATTAAAGATCATTCCTGCCCCTAATTGAATCCATGAATTAACACGTAAAAATCTAACGGTCCTTAACAAGTTTGTAGGCGACCCTTTAAAATTGAACCCTCTTGGAGAAATTACTTTGAATATAGCCGATTTTAAGTTCACCATTTGTCTCCACATCTAAGATAACGGAGAGAAGGCTGGGTTTTATTATCCCTTATTCAGTTGTATCAATGTCTTTTAGAAGCCTTCAACTTCCTATACCAATTACATTAACTGTACTTCTGTGTGCCTGCCAGGAATGACGCACAGAGCAACCCAGGCCTCCCCATCGCTGACTTTCCTAGGTGGTGAATGGGGAGGGAGCCAGGAGTGGGTTCAAAGTGAGAAAGAAAGTGGGGAGTCTAGACCCTGACAAGTTAATAGCTTAACAGTGGGTGAACAAAGCAGAGAAAACAGCTGAGCAGCGGCAGGGAAGGGGCTGCGGGCAGGAGGGTCAGCAGGGAGGGGCGGTGGGGAGAAAAGAGGGATGGTGGGCATTCAAGATCAGCAGGTCACAGAGGTCCAGAAAAATCCAGGCTCACGCAGGAACCACAGAACCCCAGAGCCTCTGCCCTCTCCCACCTGTGCTGAGGGTCCTAGTCCTCAATAACCATGGATAGTCACCTCTTTTATCCAACCATCCTCCTTCAATGAGATTCTTAGGCTTTTACGTGCAAGAAGCACTTGCAACTCAAACATCAAACCAGAACAATCCTCTTGACTCCACATCTCCCAACAACAGGTGCCCACTCTTCCTCTTTACAACCGTTTCCCGGAAGCTGTCTATGGTATTCGTTTCTCCAGGTCCTCACCTTCCACTTCCACCTCCCTCCACTGCATTCTAGCTTCTGTTCTCTTCACTCCACTGAAATAGCTCTTGCCAAAGCTACAAATGACCTTCCATGTCACTTAATCCAGCAAGCATCCTTAGCTGCCTCTTACTCTACAACCCTACTCACCATCGCCGAGTGCTCCCTCCTTGAAACTCTCTCTTCCCTTGCCCTCTGTGACACACTATCACCCTGGTTTCTAGTTTTCTTCCTTCTCTTTGGCTCTTTACAACTCAGCTCGTTTTATGGGAGCCATCCCAACCCCACCTGCCCGGTAAACAAGAATGTTGGATTCCCTCAGTGAGCACTCTGATTTTCTCCCCTTCATCACATTCCTTCCCCCAGGTGACCTCATCTGGCCCACAATTTCAGTTGCCACTCAGCTTTTGATGACTCACCAATGCATACTGCCAGGCTTGACCTCTCCCCAGAGCACTAGATGCACACCTTCCCCCGTGTAATTGATACCTACACACAGGTGGCTCAAAGGTACGCCAAACAAAACAGGACCTTCTCACGATCTCTTCCCACTGCCAGACCTGGCATCATCCCCCTCCATCTCACATGCAAACTAAAATCGCCAGAGTCATCATCAACACCTCTGATTGATGACCAAGACGTGTGGACATTACCGAATAAGCTTTTGATCATGCATCTTTCTCTCCATCCCTCCAGAAGCTACCTTAGTCCAAGTTATCACCATCTTTCCCCTGGCTCCCACGATGACCTCCAACTGGTCTACTTTGCTCCTCTTCAATTCTTTCTCCATACTGTGGCTAGAATTATTCTTGAAATAAAAGCAAGTGAGATTGCAAAACATCCTTGTGTTTACAGCACACCAGAAGCTTTCTATTGCCCAATCCTTGATGACGCCCCCATGACCTGCATCTCCTGGCCCCGGCAACTGGCCCAGACCCACCTTCTCCACTCTTCTCTCTTCCACGACTCCCTCATGTTCCAAAAGCTCACTGCTCTTACTACTGGGTTTCCATACATGCCATTCTTTGTATCTAAACTACTTTCCCCACCCTACTCTACTGACTAGTTTTTCTCTGTAATTCAAAAGTTATTTCTTCAGAGAAGCCTTCTTTGACCATCTGGAGCAGGCATTCTCAAACCTGTATATCACAGTCCCCTGAGGATATGTGAAAATGGATGCAGGGCTCCACCCCTAGAGTTTCTAATCCAGTGGGTCTGGGCTGGGAACTGACAATGTGTATTTCTAATGAGTTCATAGGTGATGCTGAGGTGCTGGTCACTGACCTGGAGCACGCCAGCCCTTTGTGTTACAGGCACACCTCATTTTATCGCCCTGGGCTTTATTGCACTTTGCAGATATTGCATTTTTTGTTTGTTTGTTTGTTTGTTTTACAAATTGAGAGTCTGTGGCAACATTGCATTGAGCAAGTCTCTTGGCACCATTTTTCCAACCGCATTTGCTCACTTCGTGCCTTTGGGTCCCATTTTGGTAAGTCTCACAATATTTCAAACTTTATTATTATATTTGTTACAGTGACCTGTGATCAGTGATCGCTGATGTTACTCTTGCAAAGAGGTTACGACTTACTGAAGGCTCAGATGATGGTTAGCATTTTTTAGCAATAAAGTATTTTCTAATTGAGTATTGCACTTTTTTTAGACATAATGCTATTTCACACTTAATAGACTACAGTACAATCTAAACATAACCGCTGTATGCACTGGGACACTGAAAAATTCATATAACCTGCTTTGTTGTGAAGCTGGCTTTATTTCAGTGATCTGGAGCTGAACCAGCAGTATCTCCAAGGTCTGCCTGCACCTGCTCTCACAGCCCTCCATGCCTCTCCTTCCAATATTTTCATGTCTGAAATTGGACATGTTTTAGCAGAATTACTTGATTGACTCATCTTTCCTCCCCACTAGACCACAAGCTCCAGGAGAGCAGGGACCATGTATGATTCTGCCCGCAGCTCCACCCCTGGGCCTAGCTCAGCATCCGGCACGTAGTAGGTCCTCAGTCAATACTTATTAAAGGACTGGAGGTGAAAAATTGCAAAGAGCATGGAGGAAAATACATTTTAAAAACCTCAATGGATCATTTTTGCAAACCAAAAGAATCAGCATCAAATGGTGACCTTGAGACTCAGTTGTCCCAAGAGCTCAGTCCTTGAGGAGAAGCAAAGTCATGACAACATAAACTCCTTAAGGCTGTCAGCCCCCTCCACTCTTTCCCTGGGGCCGGACCCACCTCCGCTAACTGGGAGTGCCAGAAGGATGCAGGGATGTCCCAAGTGGGTCCTCTAGGAGACCGTCAGAAAACTGGACTCCAGCCAGACAACGGGGGCTTCTGGAAATGGCATTTATTGAAAGTAGAGGGTTGATGATAAGAGAGCTCAAGGAAGCTGCTGAGAGGAGAGATCAAGACAGAGGCCAGAGGCAGATTCTGTAGGAGAATAAGGCAACTCTAGAAATCACATCCCTTTGATTATTTTTCATTTAAAAACTTTTTTAAAAAGTGAAAGCACTGGTAAGAAAAGTATGGGCCCTGCAAGAGACAAGCAGAAACGTTAGGAGACAAGACATCGCCAAGGCGGGTGGTTAACGTCTCCGTAAGAATCAGCACAAAGAAAGTCAAAGGCAAGATGCCATATCCTGCAGCTTCTGCAGAGATGGAAGGAGAGGAAAGAGCGGGAGCCAGGGTCAGGCGAGGGCAGGAGAACACTGTTAAAAGGAGGGATATTATTCGCAAAGAATGGGATGCTCTCTCTCCACATTAACATGGCAGACAGAAGAAGCACTCTTCCGAGAAGGGAACCATACGCAAACCCGAATGGACCAAGGGCACAGGGCAGAGGGAAGCACGTGACAAGGGAGGCTGCTGGTCACCTTGAGGGAGCCAATGGCTGATGAGACATCTTTTCCAGATTGTCCATCTCAGATCCTGAGGCAGGAGTTCCAGAGCAGAGGCATGTCCTCAGTCTTTCCTTCGTGGTGAAACAGAAGGGTTTCTCCAGGACCGGCCAGTTTCTCAGACATCCCACTTGCCAGTCTCTGGGCTGTGACTCCCTCTCGGTGTCACAGTCTCAAGATAGTTCTGGCAGTCTCCAGGAAAGGCCAGTGTTTATGCGGTCGACCTGCAAACATGATGAATTCAAATCTGCCCTGGAGCAAGTGTCCAGGAAAAGAGCGAGGTGACGGAGCACCCCGGTGGCCCAGTCAAGAGGTGGACCATGGCTTTACCCACCTGGGAGCAGGCCCAGGGTGGCTGGACCTCTGGAACCTCTGGACGATGCACCTTTCCTGGCAGGGGAAGTAGGAGGGAGATGTTTTAACACGGCTTCTTTTCAATGCATAGTCGTATGCTACAGGCCTTAAGTTGGTGGAAACCTGCTCCATAGCATTGTGGGTGAAACGGTAAGAGAAAAATTGCAGGGTAAGTAACAGCCTTTTGGGCTTTAGTGTGCAGGTTTTGGTCCTAGCTCTCTTCTTGCTATGGGACATTGCCTGATTTCCTCTATAAACCTCCATTTTGTGATCTGGAAAAATGAGCACCATAACGTGTGATGAGAAGAGAAAATATAATTATAGGGCCTGGAATTATAATAAGTACTCAGGGGGGAAGGCACAGCTCAGTGGTAGAGCATGTGCTTAGCATGTGCAAGGTCATGGGTTCAATCCCCACTACTTCCTCTAAAAATAGATAAAAACCTAATTACCCCCCCCAAACCAAATAAACAAAAATAATAAGTACTCAAGAAACGGTAGCCAAAACAGTCACATGAAAAGACCCTGTTCATCCCCACAGGCTGGTTTTTAGAGTTCCTTCTAGAAGTAGAGAGAAGGTCCCAGCTCCAGCTGCCCCTGCAGAGGTGACAAGCTGCCCTCTGGCCGGTAAACCCTGCCCTCCGCCTGTCCAGGTGGGACGGGAGCTCCTGGCTGGGGCTCCAGCAGCTTCCTTGATCTCAGAGCCATGCTCCCCCACTACGCATTTTTCTCGCCATCACAAAGGTCAAAGGGTTAGCCTTCTTTCCAGGGAAGCATTCAGAATCTTGGTCAGAACCTTGCCGGGGGGTTGGGAAATGCTGACTAAGGGCCGCAACACGATGATGATGATGACAACAACAACAACAATCTGTAAGACCGTTTCCAGGACTCCACTAAGCGTGTGGCATGCATCGTCTCGTTTAATGCACGGATGGATTTCCCTGGGGGTGCTAGGAGTCAGGAGCCAGTATGATCCCTTTTGAGAAGGGAGAGCTGAGACTTAGGGTGGGCGTGGGTCACTTGGACAAGGCGGCACAGCTTGGAGGTGGCACAGCTGGGATTTGAACCCAAGGGGGCTGGCCCTGGAGCTGGTACACATGTGACTCAGCCCTCTCCCTCCTCCGCACCGTCCTTAACAAAGCAGCCAGGCCCAAGGAGGGCAGGGGCCCGGGCCCTTCCAGAAATGGAGAGGCCTCCAGCATGGTAAGGAAGGGCGAGGGCTGGATGGACCACCCGAAACAGGAAGCTGGGAGGCGGGGAGGAGTTCGGGCCAGCCACGAACATCTTGGGGAATCGCTTCTTCCTATCTGTGTGGAATAGGTTCTCCTGAAAACCGGCCCTGTCTGGGACACGTCATCTGTCCCCCCCACCCCCAGGCAGAGTGCCCAAGGGGTACAGAAGAGGACAGACTGCTAACCAACAGACAAAGGGAACATCCTTGCCCAGCAACAGGGCAGCTGCTCCCTGCTGATGGTGTCTGCTGACCTGGTAGGCTCTCGGGAAAGGCATTCACTCTAATCACAGAGGCCAGCTCTGGGCCGGACACAATTTCCTATTTGCTGGACAAAGGGGGTCCAGATGTGTATTCCCTTCTAGGGGTGAAAAAAATCAGAATATCCGGCAACACAGGAGGAACCCCCTAAACCCACATATACACAAAACACACAACACACGGATACACAAACACACACACAAAGATGTACTCACAGACACACACATATGTACGCACACACAGACACAAGACACACACACACAAAACACACACACACAAACACACAGATACACACACACAAGATGCACTCAGACACACAAACAGATATGCACACACAGACAAAAACACACACACAAATGTGAACACAGACACAAAAACACATAATCGCACACACATACAGACACAAACGTACACAAACACACACACATGACAGATCCCACTTCAACCAGAACAGCTACTCTTTCATTTGTTTCCCTCGGAGATCTGAACAAAGAGTTCTGCTGCTTTAAAAAAAAAAAGGAAAGGGCTAAAACCACTAGTCTAGATGCTTTGTTCTTAAAATATGCTTATTTTTTCTGATTATGCAAGTAAAATATGCTCATTGACAAAACTGGAAAATGTAGGAAACTATGAAGGAAGTAGCAGTCACCGTTGATCCTGTCACCCTGGAGGTTCCCTTTGATGGGGGCTGTAAGCTCATCAGTGTCAGGACCACCCAGGCTTCAGGAACCACTAGGACTGGCACCATCTCTAATTAGGACGTGAGTATCCGGCCTGGCCAGAGAGAGAAGTCAAATTGAAAGTTGGGGATGGATGAGGGAGAAACAGTCTGAGGGAGATAAGTGGGGTGTGGCTGGTGTGCCAGTTTCCCTTTGAGAATCAAACATGATGGTGTTAAATGGTGGCTCCACTGATCCCAGCTGGAGCCTCAGTGAGGGATGAAGACGGAGGAGATTCTCTCAGATCACTGCTTCCCGTCCACGTACGGGATCACACCAGGGCTCGGAAGAGGTCAGCGGTACCACAGGATCAGAAAAACTTGGATGCATGCATTACAACCCAACTGTGTGATGCACTAGCATGTGAAGAAACAGAGCTCGTCTCAGAGTCCAGGTGAAAGTTCTAGTCCAAGAGGAAAGCTGAAAATGCTGCAGACAGTCGCCCTAGGAACACTGTGGCACTGACACTGTTAAGAGGGTAGGCCAGGGATGTCCCTGGTGACCCTGCTGTCACTACCATGCTCATGACAGACATTTCTTACTTTTTAAAAATTTTTTATTTTTATTTTTAAAAACACTTTTGATGGAGGTACTGGGAATTGAACCCAGGACCTCACTCATGCTAAGTACGTGCTCTACCACTGAGCTATACCCTCCCCTCATGGCAGAGAGTCCTGATCAACAGCAGGAGGCTTCCCACGGAGCTTTGGAGCTTTGGAGCTTTGGAGTTCTCAGAGTCCTTCCCCACAAGGCTCTTGGAAGAGCCGAGGATGCTTCCATGTCTTGGCTATTGTAAAAAGTGCTTCTATGAACACTGGGGTACGTGTTTCTTTTCAAATCAGAGTTTCCTCCACATATATGCCCAAGAAGCAACCCAAATGTCTATTGACAGATGATTGGATAGAGAAGATGTGGTATATTTATACAATGGAACACTAAAAAGAATGAAATAATGCCATTTGCAGCAACATGGTTGGACCTGGAGATTATCATACTAAATGAAGTAAGTCAGACAGAAAAAGAAAATACCATATGATATCACTTATATACGGAATCTAAAAAAAATGAGACAAATTTATTTACAAAACAGAAACAGACTCACAGACATAGAAAACAAACTTGTGGTTACCAGAGGGGAATGGAGTGGGTGGGGAGGGATAAATTGGGAGTTCAGGATTTGCAGATACTACTATATATAAAATAGATAAACAACAAGGTCCTACTGTATAGCACAGGGAACTGTATTCAATGCCTTGTAATAGCCTATAATGAAAAATAATATGAAAAGGAATATATATATATGAAAACCTGAATCACTATGCTGTACTCCATAAGTTAATACAACACTGTGAACTGACTACTTCAATTTAGAAAGAAAGAAAAGAGAAAGAAAGAAAGAAAGAAAGAAAGAAAGAAAGAAAGAAAGAAAGAAAGAAAGAAAGAAAGAAAGAAAGAAAGAAAAAGAAAGAAAGAGAGAAAAAGGAAGGAAGGAAGAAAGAAAGAGAAAGAAAGAAGGAAAGAAAGAAAGAACGGAAGTAAGTACGAATGAATGAACGAGCTGAGGACAGAAGGGAGAGGAAAACATCAGGGGCGAGGGCTCCAGGAGCAGTGGGACGGGCTTCCTCCATTGTCTGGGGACACGCACGCAGACAGCAAGTGTCCCGCGCAGATAGCATTTGTCATATCTGTGTCACAGCATCTCTGCCGCCTCAGACGGACATTCCAGGTCACGCTTGTCTCTGAGTCTCAAGATAAAAGCAAGTACTCTTCAGAAGCTATCAAAAGCTCTCTAAAGAGGCAGGTTTTGAAACTGGGGACTCAGAGAGCCAGGATGAGCTGCTTATCTGGAAAGAGCCCCACTGCCTGCAGGAACGGAAGATAATGTTTCTATAAAAACAGGAGGGAAAAAAACCGGCCAAGTCTCTAAGAAGGTTGGGGGTGGTGGTGCTTAAATCCTTGGGGCTTCAGTGTGAATCTGCGGTCCTAGGAGATCAAATAAAGACAAATAAACGTGACCAGTTAAAAAGGCTCAAGCCAAACAAAGTCCCGGCCCAAGGCCTGAACATGAAAAGTTTCTGGTCTGGTTGGAATAATCATCCAAGGGGACCCAGGACAGGTATTTGACTGAGAAACAGGTTTTTGATTTCTGCCGGAATGTATATAATATTAATGACACAAAGGCTAGCTTCCAAACTAAATCAGACAAAGCAAGATAAGGCCCTGAGAGGTCCTATATGCACAATTCTGTGTCTCAAAAGAACACCCTGTTCCCAAGGCTTTTGTATCTCACAAAGGAAACTTTCTTTCTTTTTTTTTTTAATAGCAAAACAGTGGTGGCTTTGGGTTGCTTTAAGGGCATGAAATTGACACTTTATTTCTCACATTCAACTTGAAGTACAAACCCCTATTCATTGATTTTAGTCTGCCTGTGGGTGCTTCCTTTCTCCCGCGTGGGTTGGTCTGGATGATCCCGATGCTTTCTCGTGGGAACGTAGTCTCACATGCCTGGAGTGTTATCACTTCATTTGCTCACACTCCTCCTTGGAGTGGAGAAGTGGGGCCTAGACTCTCTGGAAGGTCAAGACCACGGTGCATGGCTGAGCGTGCCCAGTGATGGCACAGCCTAGGAGGATGAGAGCCTAAACAGCCCACAGCTCACCAGTCCCATTTATGGTGCCACTACTTTCCACGAGGGCGATGGGGATCTAGGAGGTGGTGACTGAAGCTGCAGGCTTCAAGCTCGCTGTGGGCCAGCACTTAAGACGTCCCTGGAACCGCTCAGTGCCAGGACAACCTTCGGGGCAGGGGGTGGGGGTTGGGGGTCC